CCACTTGGGATTTAAATAAAAAGTGCATTCTTGTACCTCCCTACTCAGAAGTAGGTACCACTGAGTTCTGTAGGACTTAGTCCCATGTAGGTGGGTATAGAATTGCAGCCTACACCTGCTTATGGTATATTTTCTTTGAAATAGCTGCAATCTCCAAGTAGAAAAAGTAACATTTTATGAACCTTGTAGGACAAACCATTAGTTTTTCTTGCAACGAGTGAGCAGTTGTTGCAGGGTAATTACATCAAGCACAGATCATACTTTACACTTAGACAGATATGATTATGTGGGGGGGGAAAATGTAACATATTATGTGTTCCTGACCAGTGTGTGATGCAGGTTTTCTGGGAAATTTTCAGTTTTAAAATTTCCTGGGAAGTTTTCTGATGAGGTAAATAGTGTGTGATCTTATTTAGCATGTTTGTTTGACTTCTGTTTTGTAAACAGAGCTGAAAACACTTACAGTAAGAATTTTAGCTTTAGCTGTGCAGGTCAGATCAAACCAGTTAGATGTATTTGTAGCTGCAGTTTTTGCTTGATTATTATGTGTATTTGTGGTTTTATATTACTCACCTGCTTACAAAGTAATAAAACATATATGTACTTTCTCGCACACTCTAGGGAAAGTAACCTGTAAAACATGCACTGACAGCTTTGAAACAAGCTTGCCTTATATATTGCCATTCATTTATTGTTATTTATTAATTTTTTGAAACACTGAATTTTTTGAAATGGAATATTTTCTGTAGAAAAATAAAGACATGAAAAGTGTTCCCTTTTGAAAAGTTCTTTTGTAGTATTTAGACTGCTAAACACTGCGCTGGCAGCCCTGGAGGCTAACGCCAATAGCTTCCAGCACTAACTTGCTCTTTGCTTCATGTTGTTCAACGCTCTCATATGCACGACATGCAGGTTGTTGCGGATCTCATGGTGAGGATCCAGCGCATACCCGACTTCACACCTAAATTGCTGCTGGTCAGGAAGCGTCTCCTTGGCTTAGAACCTGAAGGGCCCATGTAAGTATATTAATGACCAGCCTATTCCAAGAGGCACCATGTGTGGCTTTCTAATAATTCCTCATCCTATCTCCGCAGTGTTGACCACATGACATTACTAGAAGGTGTAATTGTATTGGAAGAATTTTGTAAAGAGCTGGCTGCAATTGCATTTGTGAAATACCATGCCTCGTCCACGCCGTAAAAAGCTGCTCCGAGCATCCTGGCTACGAGATTCAAGCGGAAAAGACTGCTAACTTCCCAGGCAGGAGAACAGAAAGCAAAGCCTTGGCATTCATTTGGAGGACTCATATGGGACACCTTCAAATTGAAATACTAAATTCATTGGTAGTGACCATATGGGAGAGGAAAATGGATGTTCAACCTACAATGCAATCAATGGGATATCACAGATCACAACAGGCTCAAAGAGCTGCACACATGAAGACTTAAGTTTAAAGGTTTTCTTATTTTAATAACCTTCTAGGAGGTAGGAGTTTTTATATACTTTAGGGTTCCTAGGCTTTTAAAAAAATATATTTGTTTCATAGCTGAGGTGTGTTTTATCCATTTAAATGAAAACCCAGTAAGTGATTAAAGCATTGTAAAGTATTTAAATAAGAAGTTGTAAATGCACACACAGCTAAACAAATGATTTTTCTTTGTGTATCTTTCATGTTGAGTCCTGTTCATTGTGTTGTTCCAGTTGATCACTGATTATTATTATTTTGTTACACACAAAAACAGGTGACCACAAGTATACTCAAGTATTGGTTTCCTTGAATCCTTGCTTATTCTCCTTTGTTATGCCGCATAACTTTATTTGCCTTCTATTTTATATTGGAGCCCTGGATTATTTGATCCAAATGCCCGTTTACAAAAATGCTAGTATTACAGGTCACTTTATAGGGCTTTTAAGATTCTTTTTTATGATTAGTTGGCTAAAGAGTATCCTGTGCCTTGATGATTGGCAGTATCATTGTTTTGTGCTTTTCAGATATGTTATTACTTGGCTAATTTGAATGACTGAAGCGTCCAAGCCAAGGGACAGCTGGATCTGATACCAGTTGTCATAGTGCATATAGGCTGAAATTCTCTGCAGGTTGTTGCATGCTTAGGCTTCAGTTTTGTGATCTTACTGTTTGCAACAGGGATCCATTATAAGCCAAGGAGAAAACAAGATCCCTTCATTTTGCCATTGTCATAAAATAGATTCCCTTGCCAGACAATCTGAACTAGAAGACGAGTAAGAGGAAAGAGCAGTTGAACCACCTCATTCTGCCAGTGGTCTCTCTCTCTCTCTCTCTCTCTCTCTCTCTCTCTCTCTCTCTCTCTTCTTTCTTCTGACTCATCTCTGCCAGTTCTTCATAAGCTGAAAACTCCAAACAAACATGTTGTCTACCCTGGATTTAATATAGTTTTTCTATAATCTTTTTGTTCTCAGTAGAAAACAAGGAGAGGCAGATATGGGGTGGGAGTGCCCTTTCTCACCCATTTGCCGTTAATTGACATAATGCTATGGTATTAGCAACACATAATTTGGTTCCTAAACAGTTGTTCCATTAATCTCATTCTTGGGTATTCCCTGTAACCTTTTAACACAATTGCTGCCTGCTTCAGATATTGTCAGGGTTGATGTAAATGTGGTTGAATTTTGCTCCAGTGATGTAAACTCTGGTTTGTACCACAAGAAGTTCTAATGATACAGAAACTTGCTGAGCATGAAGGCCAAGTGTTGGAAAGTGGGATAATTTAGTTATATTGGCAGGCCTCTGTGGTAGAAACACAAACATCAAAAACAGTGGAGCAAAATTTTAAGCTGCCTTTATTATAAATGAGATATGGCCAAGGAGCTGCCTGTACTCTGTGACCAAGATATTTGCCTCCCTAGTTGAATAATAGCACATTGATTTTTTAAATGTTTTTGCACCAAAGTCACTGAATTTGACTCACAAATACAACTAACTAAACTACACATAAGATAAGTCTCAGAATTTTCTTCTGGAGAAGAAAATTTTCAGATAGATATTGGGTAAGAAGTTATAAAATAAACATTCATGGAAGCGGGCCTGAACAGCTTTTTACATTTTTTGCATTGCAGGTAGCATTTTAGAGAAATCCTTTTGGAGTCCCACAGAAGTTGATGATGGTTCTCTAATGATATCCCAAAGTAAGTGGGAGGCAGACTTAAGTTTTGGTGTTTAAAAGTATAAGGGAAAAGGTTTACTTAAGCTAACTGTGTAATTAGCTATTCATGATGGCCAAAGTTATTCACACGATGCTGGATTGAATTATAAAAACAAATAAATAAAAAATGATACAGGATACATCTATTAGTGCAAGCAGGATATCTAACATTAAAGTTCAGTTTGCTTTTAGAAACATCAAGATCCAAGCTTGATTGCACATAGCCTGCATATTCAGGAAGTTCACTTGTTTTCAGGATGTAACCCTGCTGATGTCATTTGAAGACACCAACATTTTCCCATTCCCTTTATGTCATAATACCTGGCACAAATTTAGGAAACGCTTTAACTCTTTCTCTTGGCATCATAATTGTTCTCTTGAACCCATAAATTGATAGCAGCAACCTTTTTATTTTTGTAAAAACAATTGAATTTTCCTTCCCAAATGGAACTTGTTTAACGTTTTTATAACTTGTTTTCATGCACTTTTATTTTAAAGGCTAGTTGGGCCCATGTTTGAATTGGTTGAATCTATGCATGTCATAACTACCCCTATTCTGATGTGTATGAGTGTGTTTATGTGCATGCATGTGTGCACACATGGAGATGCATGTGTGGTTATTTATTATCCGTCAGAAGAACATACAGCCTGTTCTCCAGAAGTAGTGAGCAGCCACTGGTTATAAAGATGTTTGTGCTAACTATTGGGTTCTTGGTCCCATTACAGATAAAACAAACAGTGTTTCTATATGAGAGTGGATGAGGAAAGCTAGAATTGTTTGATTCCAGGATACAGATCCCGTTTCAGTTTTTCCCTGATGCACATTTATGTAAATAAAGGCACCTTTATATCATCTATTGTATCTATTTAATTTAGATTCTGATGTTGAAAATTTTGTAACAACAACATGAGACGTCTACTGGAATAGCCATTTCCTCTTAAGCTATTTTTGTTATAACTGTAGTTGTCTGCCTAGTAGTGTCATCTTTTAACTGTAGCGTTCTGATATAATGTATTCATCAGTGCAATATTGAAGCTGTGATACAAGGCACAGCTTCAGCCTGGTTGTACATCATCTGTTTACGTGTGTATATTTGTATACTAATGGACTGAAACCCAGCACTTGCTTGCGGTATTGCCGGTGCAAAGATTGTAACACTGCATTCTACAGGGCACAGTAATCGTGGCATTCCTTTATAAATGCATGGCAGCTGCTCACCATGAGCTGCTGAATGCAGCAAAGCTTTCAATTGTGAAATAACATCCTTATTTAACTTGGCACAAGAAACAGGATAGTACAATGCGGAAGCTACACATCCACTGTTCTCACTTGTGTGAGAAATTAAGATTAGCATCTCTCAACAAACACATCTGTATAACCATGATTAATAATGCCTGTGCCCTGTTGCCTAGTGTTACAAGGTCTGTCTCTATCTATCAATATATACTCCTGGATTTTTCTCCCCTCCTGTCTTGTTTACATTAAACAGAAGATGTTCAGCAAACCTTTCCTATTGAACTTGGTGTAGTTCATTCGCTGACAATGTTTGCCAAGGTGTAAGAGACCCATGAAGGATGGTTGAAACAGCCACATTAGAGAGCTCACGGCAGTAACTTGTGTCAGCAGATACAATTCAGGCGTTTTTTGTTAAAAAGCATGCATGAAGGATTAAAAGGGATATTCTTAAAAATAAATTAATATAATTTCAACAGAGTGATGCCTTATGTTTGCTGAAGTTTGTGCATTTTTAAGTTTGACTATCGTCTCTAAATACAAAGTAACCAGATTTTACATTTACATTCCGCTTTTTCCTATCACCCTCCCAGCTGACCCTTCTCCTAATATTGGTTTTACACCTCACCTGCATTGCATCTGCCCCCTCCACCCATTTCCTCTCATTAAATTAAAATCACTCCTTTCATTAGTAAGTGGACGTTGGGCTTCATCATTTTACTTATATGTTACTTCTGCCTCGCCTTTTTATGGGAATAATATAGATAGCTAGAAAATTCAGGTTTAAAACCATGTTGGTAATTTTTTTAATGGGTGGACAATCTTTTTCAGGCCAAGCGTCAATTCTGGGGGGGTGGGGCAGAGGCAAAAGTTAGCAAAGCAACAAATGTGATTTGTACAATAGACTCATTTCTACATACACTCACATACTCCCATCTATTGTCCATCCAGTTCAAAGACAGCTGGGCAGAAACAGATGCAAAGCCGGGCTGGTAAGGAATGTGGCTCAGGGCAAAGGAGTGTGGTTGCGGAGGGTTTACAGTTTCAGCAGAGGCCCGTGGTCCAGATAAGAGGCCTTGAAGACCACATTTGGTCCTTGGCCTGTTGGTTCCCCATTCCCAATTGAGAGTTATTGAGGGCAAACACATTCCTCTTATGTGATTCTTGAGCACACTAAGTCTTATTATCCCATTCTCTCATAACTCTGGTTCCTACCCCAGCAGGCTTGCACAAAGTCAGCCACCCACTTGCACTTTTCGGTCCAAGAATGCCTCACTCATTTGGGGCATATGTAATGCTTCACACTGGAATGTTCTGAAATTTTAGTGGCTGCAAGCACATATTCAAAGACTCTTTGTAAAACGAGCATTGGTGAAGTACTTTCTTCATTTATGCAGCTGAGGCGTAAACAAACAAGGCCCACCGCAAAAATACCTCTCCACTGTAAAGGCTTTTTGCTGCCATTAAATCAGCCTTAATGTGCACGTCATTATAGCTTTTTTGTCATTAAAGTGTTTGCAGGAGACCTACACTAGACATAGGTGGGCGGGAATTAGCCAGCATGTTGTGTTTTATGGCAGTAGCTACCATTTCATCATGCATACCTCTTCTACCTTATTACCTCATTTAAAAGACTTCATTGGAACCTGTATTTGCATGCTCAGATATATTTCTTTTGTGAAGCATAACAGAAATGTGTTCTAATCATACTATCCTCAAACCAGTGGACTTGGATTGGCTTCTGAAACATCAGAGTGCTTACTGCAGTCATATTCTGTAGAGGCTGAAGTTTTTAAAAATGCTCAGGACTGCATGCCCTGGTTCTTTCCATGCCTCTTTGTGAGTTTGATATAGTTTCGTCGTATGTTCAGGGCACCGTACGCCGAGTTGAAATGTTGTGGTTTCAGAACTCTAAACAGTACTTGTCATCTATCACAGATTTCAGCTGCTCTGTAATAATTACCATGGAATATTGCCAGAAGCCAGATATAGTCAAGCTGTTGCCAAGATTGGTTAGCTGTGCTAGCAGTAGCCAGAACTCATATTAGTGTTGTTGGTCATGTTCGCACTAGAGCACAGCGCTTACCGCGTGAAATGTAGTCCACCTCTCCCTGTTCAGACCTTTGAAGGCTCCCTTCCAACAGGAAAAGAATATTGAAGCAGCTTCAAGGAACAGCTGGAGTATGTGTGCAGGTAGAAAGGTCCCAAGCTGAATGGGTTATACCACTTCAAACTGCAGGTGGGTCATATTTTTTACTGCTCTCTGCAAGGAGAAACTAACACTGCAGGGAGAAAGCTGAGACAAAACATCTCTCCCTGAGGTACTTTTTTAATAATACATACCTTTGTAGCCTTGAAGGGGTATGGTACCCCAGGATTCTGTCACCCTGTTTCTCTGCAGGCATCGCCTAGGTTTCATTTCCAAAGGGAGGAAAGGGAACTGTTGCTGTTTATTTCTGAAAATTTTTCACTGCTGTTCATCTTCCCTGCTTCTCCCATCTGCTAGGAAAATTCTCTGCACAGAGAGAGAAACTAGCGATAAGCCACTGACAAGCTTTTGGCTGTAGATATCCTCTGTTCCAAATCAGTGAAAATGTAATTATATATCAGTTAATATGTATATTCTGCAACAAAAGGAGCCAAACAGATTTGTAAGGATGCTGTTTGCAATGATAGCAAAGGTAGTACATTTGCTTTCTGAACTTAATAGGGACTGGTTTGGTTCCACTTGTAATAATGAGATTTCTAATATAAACCTATGAGGAATTTTTCATATATTCTGCACGTAACTGAAGTGTGTGCCTAAAAATGTAAAGGGTGAATGTTGGCAAACTTATAACATATTCATCAAGAAACCAGGACCGGCTGACTACAGCAGACTGGAGTTTGCCCTGAATGATGTGAAAAATAGCCGTCTCACTATTTTGCCAAGTTATTTAAGCAGTTTGTTTAGCCCACATGTGATGGGTGATACCCATGAGAACATCCATTTGCAAACTTAAGAAAATCATAATTGCATTGTAATTGGCTGAATTGGAGGGGCATAAACTTGGCAGTGATTATCCCGTACCTTGATGAAGTAACATGTTTAAAGGAGGGAAAGGAGCAGGAAGGCAATATTTTACTAGCTCACAAAACACAAAACCAGTGGTGCTGCTATCAATCAAACCAGATGCCCTCAACCTCGATTTCAGTGATTTAACTAGCATTTCCTCAGCTTAGGTTAACGCTGAATGCCGGCCTCCGGCCTCTGTGACTTAGTCAAAGCACTCGGCAGCTGAAGTGAATGATTATTTCACCTGGACAACTGCTGAATTCTCTGACTCTGGATCTAGTTACACAGAGTAATGTCCCTAGGGGGAACAATACAAAGTCAATCAAGTGGGATATATTACAAGGACATTTTAGCAAATTCAAAAACGAAAGGAGTTTTGAAGCAATTTTCTTTATGGGATTACCAGTTCACTGTTGCATTTATAACTGGGTTTTTCCCCTAAAGTGTTCTGTGGAAGGCAGCCTTTTAGAAAGAAAGAAAGAAAGAAAGAAAGAAAGAAAGAAAGAAAGAAAGAAGCACCATCATGATGAGCTAAAGAACAAAATCGCTAATATGTGGGTTTTTCCTCTTAAATGGTTTCCGAAAGCTGCGATTTATCTCCATTTTTAAACTATTATTTCTTTCGTGAACTTTTATAAACTATTTTTAACTATTATTTCTTTTCTGTAAACAGAAACAAATAAAAACTGCCTTTTTGGAGGGGAGGGGAATTGTGCTGTGCTGTTTCTAAATGACAAAAGGCCTGAAATATCATGGCCTTTCTGTTCCAAGTCTTTATGGTGTGTGCTCCACACAAGTAAAATTGAATATCATTATTAATTGAAATTTACTTTTTCTGTTTGCATAAAAGCTTGATTTAAAGTAAGTAGCCAAATTATAACTTTCTAGCTTGGTGAACATGGATAAATCCAATATAATGAGTGCATAGTTCATAATGTTCAGCACGGAATACATGTGCAGTTTTTATATATCTAAATTATATTTCATGTCTACAAAATGTCACTTTTGTTCCGTGGAGTTTCAATTATCCCTCCTAACCATTTACAGGGCAAGCATATATATGCCTACTAATAAGTAAGTCCTAGAAAAACACAATTGACTGATTCCCAGGTAAACAGTTGTGGGATTTCAGTCTCAGTTGTGAAATCCTTGGGGACAGAAGTATTTGTATAACTTATGAAGCTCTGCTATTTGACCTTTTATGCTGCATTCCATTTTTATTGTTACTTATTTTATTGCCATTGAATTTTAATTTGTTTTTTATTTTTCTCTATAAGCTGTCCTGAGAGGTGACCTATCATGAATGAATAAACCAAATGTAAGCCACTTTGGGCTTCCTGGAAGAAAAACTAATGCTAAATAAATTTAAGGAAGGAAATGGTTAGAGTAATGAAAAAGATATTGGATACCTGATTCTGCAAAATAGCATCTTATGGCCTCCACATAAGTTGGAGTCCCCAGACCACATCATGCACTATGGTAATATCCCCAAAGTCTGCGAGAGAACTTTGGGGTTAGGGCTTTATGATGCAGTCTTCAACATGTTTATTCAGAAGTAAGTCCCACTATATTCACTTAGAGACTGAAACCCAGGTACACCTAATGGAGAGGCAGCTCTTTAGTCAACCCTGCCACCACCTCTGTGATCTTCCTGGCTTGAAGACAGAGGCACTGCAGAGCTACAGAACTTCTGAGAGTAGAAAAGTGGCACATCTGAGACTCACCAGTTACTACTAGACAGACTCGGTTTTGCTATTACTATTCACCTCTCCTTTACAAACCTGTGACATGGGCCCCAGCTATTTAGACATGTGTATGAAACAAGATCCTGAGCATGCACCAAGTCAGCCACAGGGGTCTGTTTCAAGATATTTATGAAATGGTTCGAGGTGAAGTGAGGTTGTATTGAAATAAAATGAATGGTATCCTATAATTAGTCCTCTACACTTGACGTAGAGCCTAAGATTGCTTCATCAGGAAGCTGGGGGTGCCTGCAAGCCCCTGGAACTCTGAGCGTCTCCCGGTATGCGCAGCTCTGGAAAAGGCACCTCCCTTCTCTTCCAGTGTGCTCAGCGACATATACCAGATGGTATATGCACACTACACTTCTGGCATAACACAGCAAGACGTGTGAGACATCGTAGAGCTAATCTACTACAGTGATACCTTGGGATCTGAACGGGATCCGTTCCGGAGCCCCATTCGCATCCCGAATGGAACACAAGACGCGACAGCGGGTCACATTTCACCGCTTCCGTGCATGCGCGTGACGTCCTTTTGCGCATCTGCGCATGCGTGAGCGGCGAAACCCGGAAGTAACACGCTCTGTTACTTGCAGTTCGCCGCAGAGCGCAACCTGAAAGCGCTCAACCTGAAGCGTATTTATCCCGAGGTATGACTGTATTTATTTACACACTATGTACAGACAAAAGCATAATGGTGTCCGTTCTCTCCAGCTCCGAGAGAGCAACAGGCACAAATAAGAGTGAAAGTACATTACAAAGTACATACAGCGGAAGAGATAAGACTGTCTTCCGTTTCCCACACTCTTAGACAGGCATGTGATTTACACCAATCACAAATGCAGCATCGGAGGAGTGAAATTGCTAACATGGCATATATTTTTACATTTGCTGTGTCCAGGAGTTAAAAGGTGGTCACTTGCAAACTCTGGCTCCCCAAAAACCCTTAACAATCATTTCAGTTATCAAATCCTGCATTATTAACAACATCTGACACGTAGATATGGCTAAGCCAAGCCAATTTTCTACCACTGTACCAAACTGGGAAGTCCTCTGTATGATTCCAAGCCGATCCATAATAGGACATACAGTATGTTCATTTACTACATTAATAGCCCACCTTTCCTACAAGGAACTCAAGGTGATGTACCTATTTCTCCCCTCCATTTTATCTGCACAACAACTGTAAGGCAGGGTTGGCTGAAACTGATCCAACTGATCCAAGGTTGCTCTGAGCTTTATGGCTGAGTGTGGATTCAAATTCAGGTCTCTCTAGTCTTAGCCTGACTCTCTAAAAACTACAATTCTCATGCCTGCAAATAACATATAGTTTATCATTTGCCTACATAGTACACACTCCTATATAGTACACACTCCTGTTACTATAATGAGAATCATCACCTTACATTTCCAGAATGTAGCAGTCAGCTCCTGCTTTAAAGCCACTTCTGTGCTTAATAGTGTGTAAATCCATTATAACAGGGTGTGATCATCGGCATACAAGCGATCTTTTATATGATCAGTGATGGTCAGTTATATAAAAGTTTTTCTCCCTTACAATGCAGACTTGTCAGTTATATAAACGTTCCTCTGTCTTGTGTTAGATATTTGCAGTCCCAATGGGCCATTATCCTGGTCATGCTATTATCTGTTTAGTGTGTGCTATAATTCGTCTCAAAGACAAAATGGAACAAGGGCCATTAAACTGGCCTATATCTAAGAAGTAGTAATTTTATGTGCCCATCTATTATGGCTTTACCGTGAATGACAGGCAAGCTGCCAGGAAACTCTGGGCTGTTATATTTACATCTCACAGAATTATAATGGTAAAAGTTCAGATTGGCTTCCACAACTTTATGCTAGCACTCCCATAGTAGTAGTAGTAGTAGTAACAACAATAATAATAATAATAACAACATCAATAATAATTAATATATTTATACCCCACCCATCTGGCTGGGTTTCCCCAGCCACTCTGGGCAGCTTCCAACAAAATATTAAACAGAAAACAAAACATCATACATTAAAAACTTCCCTAAACAGGGCTGCCTTCAGATGCCTTCTAAAAGTCAGATAGTTGTTTATTTCCTTGACATCTGATGGGAGGGAGTTCCACAGGGCTAGATGCAGTACTCCTCTTGAAAAAAATGTTTTTGCGCAAGGCAATTAAAATACTGCAAAAAAAGAGACACTTGCAATATTACTGCACATTTTTCAGCAGTTCAAGTATTTCCCATATTACCTTAAAACTGACAGTTAAATCCAGTGTTCTACCAAAAGAGAAAAGGAAGGGAGGGAGGGAGGGAGGGAGGGAGGGAGGGAGGAAGGAAGGAAGGAAGGAAGGAAGGAAGGAAGGAACAACCCACTTAGTAGGTAAAGGGTCCAGTCATGGCCGACTCTGGGGTTGCGGTGCTCATCTCGCTTTATTGGCTGAGGGAGCCG